ATAAAACAGCTGTCGAACAGCGTGTCCATACAATTTGGAAATCAGGTATTGCCTGTCAAAACAGAGGTCAAAAACTTGGGTTTACTCTTCGATAACAATTTTCGTTTTGACAGACATATATCTTGGCGTGTTCAGAGGTGCATTGATAGATTGAGAGGATTGTATCGCTCTAGAAAAGTGTTAAGTTTTAATATGAAAAAAATGTTATGCGATTCAATCGTTCTCTCTATCTTCAACCACTGTGACGTAGTGTATGGACCTTGCCTGACTGCGGAAACATCAAGTACGATCGAGAAAATTCAAAAATATTGTCTGAGGTTTATTCACGGCATTCCTTGAAGGAAACCAGTAAGCTACAGACTAAAAGAAACAGGTTGGGTAAGCATGAAACATCGACGATATATTCATAAATGCTCCTTATATTTTAAAATCATCAAGCTTAAGGTTTAAAGTCAACCCCTATTTTCTGAACCTTGTGTTCAAAAATTCCAGAAAAAATTTATGTTTTATGGTTATTGATATACTATAATCCATAATTTTTCAAAGCAAATTTGACTCGCCATTTTTGAGGTACATCGCAAAAACTGAAAAAAAAATGTTGTTTTTCACCATTTATCTCAAAACGAATAGATGAAGTTTCCCGTTATTTTTACTACCAACTACTATTGCAATTCTACGCGACATATATTTTTTTCAAATTTTTTGAACATGTAGTTTTCTCGCTACTGCAAAAATAGTTGGAAATACGCCCATCCCACACAACACATAACATCCCCAGGATATTCTAGGAAAGTCGGAATATCCCACTACAAGATCATCCTGCTAACGATATCTATAGGTTATTCTCTAGACATCCTAAAATCCAGTAGATGTCTTAGAACAGGATGTTCTGTAGATATCTTAGTCATATATCTTATGGATATCTAGCTAAGATAAATAGGGGTGCTCGATAAAATTAAATATCCTTACGACATCGCTGCGATATTTGAAAAAAAAGTAATTATGTACGACTTTTTATGTTGCGTAATTTGTAAAACTGTGAAACCATTTCCTATAATTATATCTTAAAACATAGTATTTTTATTTCCTTCGTCAGCTTTTACTTGGCATCGAGTAAACACAAGATATCCTGTTAATATCTTATGGATTTTTTTTTGCCTATTGCGTTAGTCACTCCCATGAGTCCCACTTTCAATTTCAAATTACCCGCGTAAATAATTTCCCACAATCCAAGCTTGACATATTTGCCTTGGCGCGCTTGGCCGCTCCCCGCTCCAAAACTAGTCAATTTTATTGGTAGAACCCGTGCAGGAAAAATGTATTTTCATCTCTTTCTTATACAAGCTGTTAGAAAAAGACACGAATACACTCCGTGTGCACTAGCCCCTTCAATATAAATCGCTATATGTCATGTCAACGGCCAGGCCGGCGGCATGCGGCATGCGGCATTGATTGTAATTGCAAATGGTGGACGGACGCCGTGTTTTGTAAATTCGTTGTTTTCGGTGGAAATTCAAGTTTAAAGTAATTTTTTTTCTTTTCTAGGAACTACAAAGTCGACTACGAAGTTTTTCGCTGTGGTGTGGAATATTTGAATTTTATTTAACTCGATATTTATTAACTAATTTTGAGTTCAAAGTTTTTACGTGTTTGTGTTTCTTGTTTGTGTTTCTCGGGCTGTGTGCTGTGCTGTATTCTATAATACTGTAAGTAAATAGTGTTAATTAAAAGTTAGAACATTGATATTATAAGAAAGCCTACCTAAATCTAATTCACAAAATGCCCAAATTTAAAAAAAGTAAGTCTTCTTTTTACCGGACTCTGAGACAAGATTCTTTAAATGTGACTTCTCGTGTGACTGCCAGTACTTCTAAATTTAATGTTAGGGACGATATAGTGCCAATAGTTGCAGGAAGTGCAAGTCAAGAGACTGCTGGGTCATCAAGTTTGGAGAACCATGCTCAATGCTCGATTGAATGTGGCCCCCATCCAGTAGTTTCAAAGTTAAACCCTTCTTTAATTAGCGTATGTGATGAAGCTACTGCAATCACCATTCCTAATAGTTGTGTGCCATTAGAAGTGCCATTTGAGTTACTTAGTAATAATGATAATACTGAAATAGAGTCTGAAAATGACTCCAGTGAAGACCCAATTATTCTCGAAAGCGACGAAAGCACTAATGAGCCTGCTTGCATGTCCTCCCAGAACGAAAGCACTGATATGCCACAGCAACTGCAGCAATGGGCTCTCTCAAATAAAGTAAATAACATGGCATTATCTAATCTGTTGAAAATTTTAAAACCACATTTTCCAAATTTACCATTGGATGCTAGAACCTTATTAAAAACACCTAGAAAGACTTTGACCAGGTTGATGGATCCTGGTGAGTTTTATTACTTTGGCATAGAAAAGCAGGTTATCAAACTTCTTCAAAGGCATTATAAAACAATTTCCAAACAAATCATATCCTGTGAAATATTGGTGAATGTAGATGGTTTGCCTATAAGCAAAAGTTCTGGGAGTCAATTGTACCCAATATTGATTTCTCTTCATGATTCAGATCTTGTGACTGTTGTTGGACTTTATCATGGGTACGAAAAACCTAAAGACTCCAATAATTTATTGAAAGAATTTGTTGAAGAAGCTATCGGTCTTTCTAATAATGGGGTTTGTTTCATGAACAATATTATTCCCTTCAAAATTAAAGGTTTTTTATGTGATGCTCCTGCAAAATCTTTTGTTAGGTATACTAAAGGTCATAACGCCTATAATTCATGTACCAAATGTTGTCAGGAAGGATCCTATATAAATAACCGTATATGTTTTACTGATATAGAATTTATTAAACGTTCAGATGAAGATTTTTTGCTATTACGTCACGAGGAGCATCACACAGGAACCTCTATTCTCACTAATTTACCAAATTTTGGATTAGTTTCCTCATTTCCGTTAGATCCTATGCACCTAATATTTTTGGGTGTTATGAAAAAACTTCTCGTAGCATTGTGGTGTGAAGGAAAACCTCCGTATAAGTTATCAAGTAGAAATTTATCAGTCATGTCAGAAAGTTTATTGCAATTAAGAAAGCACATCCCATTAGAATTTTGTAGGAAACCAAGGGGTTTGAATGAAGTTAAAAGATGGAAGGCTACTGAATTCCGGCAATTTTTGTTATATACAGGACCATTGGTAACCAAAAGTAGTTTGGAAAAAAAATATTATCAACACTTTATGGTTTTACATACAGCAGTATTTATATTATCTAGTTCAGAACTAACCGAAGATAAATTAGTCTATGCAGAGAGTCTCTTGGAATATTTTGTTAAAAAGTTTCCCGTTCTTTATTCTGTTCAATATATGTCACATAACATTCATAATTTGTTGCACTTGACTGATGATTGTCGACATTTTGGAAATTTGAACAAATTTAGCGCCTTTCAGTTTGAGAACTTTTTACAAGTTTTAAAGAAATTAATAAGGAAATCTGATAAACCCCTAAAACAAGTAATTAATCGGATAAGTGAAATCGAGAATGTTGAATTAAGAATCCCCTGTCTCAAAAATAAACATAATCAACCAAGAACTCATGCCTCAGGACCTCTTCCTAATGGCTACTATAATCCAGAATATATTGAACATTTCTTCCCAAATTTTACAGTGAAAATAATATCACCTGATAATTGTTGTGGTTTAGCAAATGGTAACATTATCAATGTTGAAAATTTTGTTACAAGCCTTAAAAACGAAGTTAGGATAGTAGGAAGAAAATTTAAAAATATTGGTGATTTTTATGAAAAACCATGTCCCTCTTCAGATCTTGGAGTTCTTGAAGTCTCAGAATTGGATGATAATTTAGAAATTTGGCAATTAAGTGAAATAAAATTAAAGTATGTCAAACTGCCTATTTCTAAAAACAAATTCATTGTGTTTCCTTTATTGCATATTTAAGACAATCTAAAATCAATTTAGTATTCATAGCTATTTATACAGGGAGTTTGGTGCATCGTTTGCCAAATTCAACTGGCTGGAAGACGGGGCCATTTGCTTAGGTACTCTTCAGCCATAATAACTCATCCGTGACCCCACGGGTTTTTTTTTTTAATTTGATTTTTTCTATTTTTTTTTTTTGAATCTCAAAATTCGCCGTTTAAACTTAAATTAAAAAAGAAGTTGTTGGCCTAGCTTCCAAATTTGAGTTTTATTTTAATATGTACTATGGTAAGGTTCCACCAAATACAAAATTACTTGCCAATAGCTTCTAGTCTTTTTATTATTAACTAATAAAATTTTTGAAACAGGTAAAAATAAATTGAAAAGTGAAATTTGCAATGCAATGAAAAAAAAAAACTAAAGTCGATCGTGATCTTCGAATTCTCTCAAAAAGTTCTCTAAATGGCCCCGTCTTTTGGCCAGTTGAATTTGGCAAACGATGCACCAAACACCCTGTATAGCAAGCTGTATAGGTACAAACAAACAAATATAGCGGAAAGCAGCTATAAATAAGTAATGGGTGTTTTTACAACTCGTTTTACAATTTTTGCTTTTTTGGTTCTCTGGCATGGTTTTGATAAAATTCTTTGTACCATTTCAACTTTAATATTAATACAGATATAATACACTGATTTATGTTTTAATGTTTTGTCTTTTGTCCTTTTATATTGTTATTGGGTATTTCAGGTTTTTTAAAGCGCTGTTAAAGTATTGAGTTAAATAGTTTTAGCCTAATCCAGCTATTTTTCAAGTTTGAGTATTTTTTTCCATGTACATATTAGGCTCTAAGTAGGTATCAGAAAAGGAAAGCTTTTTATTCCACCAATTCAAACGTCTTCAAATAAAAAATAGCATTGCCAATTCATTTTCATCTAGTTTCACAAGGTTTCACACACTGTCCTGATGCTGGTATAATTTTTACTTGTGATATAAATTGATAACTACTGGTATTGGGTATGTATCTTCTGTAGGTGAGAAGTTTATTACTAGGTATCTTTTTTAGCAATATCATGGTATTGGCATGGCATATAGTTATGTTCGTGGAAGAAGAGAGGGTGGAGGTCTTTCCAAAATGTTGGGTCATTAATAATAATCTGGGTTACACTGGCCTAACCAGAAAAAAGCTAGTGGCATACTGCCATTAATTAAGGGCTGTTCCATGCCAGAAAAGGACAAATGGGATGTGGTCCGTATCCGTATTAATAAAAAGAATAAAATTTATGGTGAGTACGTTTAAATAGTTATTTGTGTAACTAGGGCAAAAAGTCTATTTTGTTGCAAGCTGCATGAAGTTTTCAGCTCGAGCCTAACTCAAGAGTCGCAATCATGCTGAGTGCAGCAAATATGCTTTTTACACATGTTACACATGTTTGTTATTCACACTAGTAAGTTACTGCAAGCCAGACCAAAGTAGAACTGTGTTTTGTTTATGTTGGCAGTATTTTATTACAATGTTCTGGCCACCATCCACTTATTTTTCCATAAAATTGACTGGTTTTTATATAAAATAAATTGAAACTGCCTTCACAATTTTTCTGGCAACTGTAACTGAAAAAAAGATTTTGCTTTATGTTTTTAAAATAGGTTGGTAAATTTTTAGATGATTATGCACAGGCATCTCTGGCTGCCTCCAAAGCTTGCTATAAAACAGACGTTGATGAATCCACTGAATGTGATGAAAATACTAAAACTCCTAGCTCCTCAAAGGGTAGACGAATTATTTATAACAAAAAATATTCACAAGAAGATGAAGCGTTTGACAGTGATGATATTGAGAGTAGCGACTCATTAGAGTCAATTCCATCCAAGCCTCTCAGAGGTACCTACCGAGGTAACTACCTACCATTTTTATTTTTCTATAAGCGTTTTCACGAGTTTTGGTATGAATGTGGTATCATGAACCATAACACACCACTCGTTTTCACGAAGTGTTTCGGTATGTCATTTGACAACCTGGTTTCAATTCGGTCCGTCAATCTTCTAACCATCTCGGGATGATGGTATGAAGATGCGGTATGAGACGTTGAGGCTAGATTTTGGCTTGTTTATGAAATTATGAATTTTGTCGATTTGGTTTTAGTTCTGTGTTATCATAATTTAGTTTTAGTGAGTTTATTGTTCGACAATGCTCAAAACCTGTCTCCAAAAAAGTCCTTCTCTTCACAGCAAAAGGAAACTCATCGCTGAAAATCACCATTTAGCTACGGCTACAACTTGCAAAAAATCTTTGGTGTTAATTTTTAATTAAAAATTTCGAAATTTGAGAGCAAACATCAACAAACAACGACGAAATTATACCAAAACATTTCACAACCTTCTGATAGTTCTGCTGATACCGATCGGTTTCAACTGACGTTAATGACAGACCAGAGAGTAACCCGGTAGCAAATGGTTTCATGATACAACTCCGTGAAAACGCTTTGTATTTAATTATAGCTGAAACCAGGAAAGATGATGATTATTATGTCATACCAGCAAATCCCATAGGATTATGCTTAGGCCCAGTTGTACAATCCAGGTTCAAACAGAGGTTAAGTTGAACTCTACTGGTACTTGAACTTTCCCATTTGAAGTGCATTGCTGTCAATAAATTTACATTTTGGCATATTTCTGACAGCAATGCATTTTAAATGGGATGGTTCAAGTACCAGTAGAGTTCAACTAAACCTCTGTTTGAACCTGGATTGTACAACTGGGCCTTAGTTTCATTGATGACTTGATTGTTATCTTTCGGTGTCAACGTCAACTCTATTTGAGGACATATTAGTTTCTATGAAGTCGATTTTTCCTTATTAATAATTGTCATATTCAGCTATGGGTACTCAATTGACACCCTGAATATGTTTTAGGTAAAGATGACTCTAAAACCAAAAAGCTGATGAATGAAGAAGCTTCGGTAGTGGTTGATCCATCCAGAAAAGAACATGAAGGTACCATTATTTTTTTCTGTATGAACTTTAATATAAAAAAAATACGATTATGCAAATTTGTAATTTGTTTAAGACCCCATGTTAAAGACGACAAGTCATAAAAGCATAAACAGTCAGAAGTTGCTTGATGAACAAGAACACATTGGTGGAAAAGCAAAAAAAGGCAAATCCCAAGGACATGATAATGGTAGGGCGCTTTCAAGTTACTTTTTCATTGTAATGTTTCTATTGTGTCTAGATCTTTAGAAGAAGAAATAGAATTTTACTATGTATATTATTTGCTTTTAGAGATCCTAGTGAAATTATGCTCCAGGGTTTCTTATTTAACCCTTTTAACTAAAGGGATTGCAGAGGACATCGATCAGATCAAGTTACAGATGGAAACTATCACTAACATCCCTGTACCAACACACCCATCTGCCTCCAACGAAGAAGTATACAACTTCCCATTTGAAACAACTGAATCATTGGAAGAGTTTGAGAAAACTCTTGAAAACAAGGAGACTTATCTGAAATTTGTAAGTCAGCCTACTTATTATATATAGAAGTTAATTATTTGTAACTCAACATAGATTTTTTCAGGTACGTTTCGTTTCACGAATAGGTGGGGATTCTCCCTATGAATTTATCAAACGGGTTATGGTTCGTCTTGTAACAAATGAAGTAGCTGCAAAATACTCTTTCACAGGACATAAAGGCAAAAAGCCAATAGGCCACTTTTTAATTGCTAAAGCATTAAAAGGTAAGAATACCATTTTTTTATTTTAATACATTGGATTATTTTATTTTTATATTTATATTTATTTATTTATTTATTTATATTGTATCTATGTCCATCCAAAGATAAAATTGAATAAAATGTATATTTATTTCTTTTACTTAAACAATTTAGAAATATTATCAAAAGTTGACTTTTTACCCTTGCTTCAAACTCAAATTCGCCTTGATATTAAGCCTAATAAATTCATAAAGGATCTACAAAGCTTTGAAAGCATTAATGAAAAAAATAACATAGGAAATTAACTTAATTGAGTTTTTAGATGCTTCTAGAAATGTCAAATCTTTGATGCATTGCACTGAAAACGACATAGAAAAAAAATTTAAGGATTGGCTTAGACATGCTCCAGCAAGGGCCCAGAAAAAACAGGAAGACCCTCCTAATGGGGCAGAAGAGGATATCGAAGAAAATAATCAATAATTATTCTTTTTAATAATGCTTAATAATAATTTAATAATGCCCAGTACCAATTTACATATATCGTGGGCTTACAAGCAAAATGCACTAAGTCAACTTATTACAAAAATGGGGTTTTCACGTCACTAAAATCAGTAATTGATGATCTATGTACAGGTAAATCGCACTAAGTCCTAAATGGGCAGCGAAGAGTGTTATTCACTAGATAAAACGCACTAATTTTGTTTTGATACCAATCGCATACTGGCATAACGCATTAAGTCCCTTAGTGCTTATTACATTTTCCTCTTCTTTCACAAGTTACGTAGCAATAGGCACTAAGTCACTTAATGCGTTTTACTTGTACGCAAATTCAAGCAATTTTTTGTAAACAAAATCAAAACGGTGACTTAGTGTGTATGTGTTTAACAACAGATGGACATAATATTGTGTTTTTTCATGTTGTGCAAGCTGAATTTGAATAAAAAATGTTTGGTCGGGGTGCTAAAATATTAGCCTTGTTGAAAAATGATGACGAGCAAAAAGAGGAACAATCAGGTAAGCAATAGAAATTGGAAAATAATTTTTATTGATTTGAGGTTATGTTTTTATTTCCAAAGTTAATAGTTTTTTGGATTTTTTTTTAGTTTTTCGCTATTATAAAAAAAATTTCGCTATTATAGAAAGTTTTTCGTTATATCAATTTTTATTAACTTCAGAACATACTCCAATAGTGTCCGAACGCATAGAGCATGAAGAAAATAATACTGAAATTCTTGAAGATGAGAGTTCGATGATAATGGACCAAGGAGGATCCGAGATGAACACTAACAAGCAGGCTGTGTCTGTAAGCTATTTTAATTTGGTAAATTTAAGTTCTTTCCTTATCCATAATTTTAATATGCCAGGGCACTGAGGTGATGGAACTTCAAAGTTGTTCAACAATGAGTGGCCCGCTAGATGTATTAATAAACAACAACGATTTACATCTTCCAAGCACCAGCACATTTGTACAATATGATGATAATTTCAGTGACTGTGATGATTCAATTGCCGATAAAAACTATGAACCAAACATGAGCGATCTGTCCGATGCTAGCTCAAATTTTGATATTGAACAAGAAGCAGCTAATCAAACTGAAACCGAAGAAATTCAACAAGAACACCCTAAGAAAAAATGCAGATGGAAAAAAGCAACGCCTGAAAACTGGAAGCGACAAAAAAATAGAAAACTACGAGATGAATGCTTACCGTACGAAAATTCCAAAGGAATTCTTCAAGTGGCTAAGCTACCAAAGCCAGTGGATTGTTCAAAATGCAAATTAAAATGCACCGAAAAATTCTGTATGGAAGAAAGAAAATTGATATGTAGGAAATATTGGATTTTGGCTTCGTATGAGAGAAAAAAAGACTTTATACTTTACAATGTGACAAGTCATGAGCCCTTATCAAGACGCTTCCGTAAAGATAATGCTAAAAGAAGGCAAAATTCCAAAAAATACTATTTTAATAAAGATGGGGAGAAGTTACAGGTTTGTCAGAACTTCTTCATGAAAACGCTATGTATTTCAAATCGTGTAATATTGTCTGCCTTTGAAGGAAAAGATGCATTGGGCCATTTTGGAAATAAAGACAAAAGGGGAAGAAAATCACCATCCAATAAAACAAAACCGGAGGTTATTGCAAAAGTAAACGCCCACATAGAAAGCTTTCCCGCTATGGAGAGTCACTATACCCGCAAATCCAGCGAAAGGAAGTACTTGGACTGCAATTTAACCATCACAAAGATGTATGAATTATATAAACAACAGCGCCAACAGGATGGTGACACCGATATTGCTAGCCTAATAACTTATCGTAGAGTATTCTGCAACAATTACAATTTATCTTTTTTCCATCCAAAAAAAGATCAATGTTTAATTTGTTCAAGATATCAGCAAGCTAGTCCTGAGGAAAAACAACGCCTGAAGGAGGATTATGAACAGCATTTAGGGAGAAAAAACGAATCCCAGCAAGCTAAAGCAGCAGACAAGGAGAAGGCAAAAGTGGATGAATCGTTCATGTCAGTAACATTCGATCTACAAAGTGTGCTGCAAATTCCGTCATCTGAGGTATCACTGACGTATTACATGAGAAAGTTAACAATGTACAATTTCACCGTTTATGAGGCAGCACCGCCAAATAAAGCTTTTTGTTATTGCTGGACCGAAATAAACGGCAAAAAAGGAAGCTGCGAGATAGGCACATGCTTGTGGAAATACATCCAAACTTTGCCTCCAGAAGTAAAACATTTATCATTGTTCTCCGACACTTGTGGCGGCCAGAACCGGAACCAGCAAATAGCTGCTTTGCTACTCTATGCGGATCAAAATTCTCACCTGGAAATTATCGAACAAAAGTTTCTGGAAAGCGGGCACTCATTCATGGAAGTTGACTCCATGCATAGTGCTATAGAGCAGCAGAAAAAATTTGTCTCCGTATATTGCGTCAACGATTGGATGAACATTTTCAAATTAGCTCGTTCTCAAAGAGGCAGGAATAAAAACAAACCACCATACGAAGTAGGTGAGATAAAATTTGACGAATTTTTTGACCTTAAACAACTAGCCACTCAATTATTAAAAAATAAAACAATCGATGAAAACGGACAGAAAATAAACTGGCTTAAGGTTAAGAACTTCAAATATGTGAAAGATAAGCCAAATTACTTCCAGTACCGGTATGACTATAGTGGTGAGTATGTCGGCATCCAAATCTCAACTACCCGACGTGGAAGAAGACCAGTCCAAGATCAGCCGTGTAAAGATGGCTTACCTAAACTATATCACGAAAGCCTAAAAATTAGTAATGCCAAAAAAAAAGACTTGTTAACGATGTGCAATAAGGGTGTAATTCCTGAAATCTTTCACCAGTTTTTCCAAGGTATACAATCTGATAATAAGGTAACAGATACTTTGCCAGATTTAGCCATTTCTGACGAATCAGAAGAAGAAATCTAATGATTGATATTTAAGTACTACCTAGTTTTTGTTTCTGTTCATTTTTCTAATAAAAAAATTTGGAAGAATATGAGTTTTATTGAAATTTGCTATCACAACTCTACAAGTAAAATGCACTAAGTCGATGTTTTTTTTCAAATTTATCCAAATTTAAGTACTTGATTTTTTTTTCAAATTCATGGTAACTTGTTATAAGTACGACAAAACATAATAGTATCAAATAGCAGTAGTATCTTCAAAATATAATTATTACAAAATTTATTAAGTATGACAAAAAGTTAATTTTATCTATATCTCAAAATCATGTTTTTTGACTTAGTGCCTTTTTCTTGTAAGCCCACGATATAGCCAAACAGTTTTTGGGGAAAATATCATTTCGTTTTTGAGAGAAAAGTACTTTAAGTTAAAATAAAATAAAGACTACCTATGTTATTCGGTTCTTATTTGTTGAATCACCCTGTTCTGTACGCATAATATTACAAAATTAAATTTAGGGATTGTCGTAAAAAAAATATAAAATTTTTAATTTAGCAGCAACTTTAATACTTACAAATGCTCAATACTGACATATTTATTTTCTTATTAAGTTTTCCATGATTTTTTCACCAGACTCTAGGGAGCTTTATTTGAATTGAGTGCAAATCTTTCACACTTGAATTTGCATCATTTTGACATATTTTCAAGAAGGATACATTCAGACGTAACGCCTAACAGTCAATTTCATAATCAACTTAAAGTGAACTTTAAATTTAAAGCTCCCTTAAAAGTTGAAAATCCGTTTTGATTTTCAACTTTAAAAGAGCTTTAAATTTAAAGTCCACTTTAAGTTGATTATGAAGTTGGCCGTAAATGACGCAAATTCTAATGTGAATGATTTTTACGGATTCCAAATGAATAGCTCCCCTACAATAATAATAATTGTCTAATAATAGTCCTAGCAGAATATCCTGAAAATATTCTATAATGCGCCCAAAGTCATCCCTATATTATCCTAAAAATATCCCGAATAATCCTAAAAAGGTTGTCACAGGATGTCATGAAGATATCTATTTTAGTGTCATCTGGATATCCCATGAATATCCCTCTCTGGTTTTAGGATATCCCTTGGATAAATACTATATCCTTTGCGGATATTCTATGGATATCTATAGGATGGTATTGTGTTATGTGGGATAGCTACACTGTTTAAGAAAAAAATCCGAAGGATTAACGTTCAAAATTATTTGCGTTGGTCCAAATTACAACCCTGTTTATGTAAAACAGAATAATACTTTGAATTTCCGCAAAAAAAAAAAACTTTCCATCACACAATTTAACCAAATGAAGATTTCTATTTTTTTTTTACTTTCAAGTTAGGGCACACTGTAGGGGCGACAGCATTGACATCTCGCGTTGCTGTAACGAACTATAGGCCTGACTTTTAACCTTAAATGAGGCCTTCAGTGCAATAATGGACTAAGCCACACATTCATCAATGTTTCAATAATGGCATCTGATAGCATCCATATAAGATAAAGCATAATGTAAAAATGGTCTACTTCATATCCACTAGATGGTAGCACTTAAACCGTTATTGCATTTGGTAGTTTTAAATATTTTGAAATGCAAGAATGGACTAAGCGGGTTAGTCCATTTTTGCACTTGTAATTTTGGACACGTGTGATTTAATAGGTTATGTTTATTTATCACATTTCTGGGAATTTGGAAAAAAAGTCGTGTTTAGAAGCTGTTTACTTTGCAATTATTTGTTGTTTGATTTGTTTAGTGATTCTGTGATTCAGCCCAATGGATAAATCCGTTGAAAAGGAACTGCTACGTGAGTTTGAGGTCATTTCTAGTTAAAAATCAATCAATCAAATATTTTCATATTCTTAGGTTTGTTTGAGGAGGGTGAAGAACCTCCTGAATTTGCTGATTCTGGCTCCGAATACAATCCTTCTGAGACAAGCGACTCTTCCAACGAAAGTAGTGCAGATTCAGACGCAGAGTCTCCAGAGCAAACCGAGCAACCAGAGCAAGGACAGC